TCCTGCCTCCCTCACCCCCACCCCACATTCTCTGACAAATTCTCTTCATATCAGTCTGGGTAGACTATGAGCCCCTAGCACAACCCTTGGATGACGCAATCACTACCCAACCAGCCAGCTAGATTTTCACTGCTCCAGGAGGCCACCCATCCAGATGGTGACTTCCTGACTCAGATGCCTGGATACTCTTGGAGACCATGCTAAGAGTCTTCCTGAAGTCAACACAGATGCCAAAGATCTCACCACTTGAATCTCACCACTTGATCTCACCACTCACCACAGGAAGCAATCAGGCTAGTCAGATCTCCCAGTTGGTTGCACACATTCTAGTGGAGAGCTCTCCTCTCTCCGCCTTCCTGCTGGAGCCAGCGTGGGCAGAGCTGGCTCTTGTTGCCTCCAGACCTGCAGGGTGCTGGCAATATGAGCACCAGCTGGTCGTGTGTGTTAGGCTGTGCCTGTGGTCCTGGAGCACGCAGCCAGCGGCGTGTCTGCGTGGCAGGGATAGCTCTGCCTCCCACTGCAGGGTTCGGCCTGGCACCAAGAGCACCTGCTAGGACGTCTCTGGACATCTTTAGGACATGTTACTATCACCTGCCTCACTCTATCTCCGGCCTGATTTCCCTGCAATAGTATCTGCTTAGGTGCCCTCATCTAGACTCTGCTGGCAAAGACAAGCATTTTAATTTTGGCTGTGGCACCAAATAAACTAAAACATAATCTGGTCTCCTAGCCTCTCCTTCCTTTCCCCTGCAGCCCTCATGGAGTTTTGCTGCTGTTCTCTCATGTGTGCATCTTAGGGAGACCTCATCCTGCTCCTAGCCCATAGGCTCCCCAACCTTTGTCAGGACAGGAATGGTGACATCTGCCCACGTTTCCATCTCTGAGCAGCTGCTTATATCTACAAATACCAATTGCATCAGCTGCTGAGCACCTTAACCTTGAGCAGGAGGGGGACGGGGGTTAAGATGATTTGGCAGGAAGAGCATGTGGGGTGGAAATCAGTGTGTTTCCCTCCAAATTCGATGGGCCAGCTCCTCTCAACAGGTATAGTGTGACTCAGCTCTGCTCATGTCAATGGGCCCAGCTCAGACTGCACTTTCACTTTAAGAATAAAAGAAATGCATGAAAGCAAAGAAATGCTTCACCCTGGGAGCAAAGGACACAGTGGACACTCAGACCACTCTTGGGCTCTTCTCGCCCGGCACTCTGTGCTCACTTTGCACCAGGCGCTTTGGTATCCCAAGGTTTTTTGTGAAGGCGAGCCATGAGATCCCTGTTGTACAGATTCGAAACTGGCAGCAGAGGAGGGAATCCTGCGAGAACCACTCTGGGAGCCTCCCGCACGTGGAGAGCTCCAAAAAGAAGGCCACCGTCACCCACTCCTGACTGCACCCACAGCAACCGAGCAGCAGGCACCAGATGGCAGCCTCCAGGTCCAGCCAGATGATGCCCATGCTACCTGGAAAGACTTGGGAGGAGACCAACAGGATCCCTCTGTCTCTGCGCACAAGGTGTTTGTCAAGCACCATCTGCCCACGGGCTCCTGCCCAGGGAGAGGTGCAGCCTGAGGATGCTCCCGGGAGCGGGGCTTCAGCAGCAGCACAGGCTGCAGGCGCTCCCGGCTTGCTGAGACTTGAGGTGCCATCAGAGACCTCCCCCATGGGACGAAATGGCTTGCATGGGTCTATGAAACATGTGGTATAGGGTATTTGGAAAGCGGGTGCCGAGCACTCATCAGCACCCCCCGTGAAACCCGCTGCTCCCCAGTATCAGCAGACGCTTTGCAATCTTGGCACAACCTCTCAGCATTTCTCCCTATCACCAGCACTCACATCACATCACTTAGTGGACTCTTTACTGTAACAACTGAAAAAGGGACATTTTAATCATCACATATTAATATTTCATACTTCATCTAATTGCATTCCAGCAGAGCACTTCACACAGGATGCAGATTAAATCCTGCATGGTATCAACTGTGGCAGCTTATTGTTCCTTCCTGGTGAAAAAATATAGCTCTTCAGTGCATTTTTACAAAGTACAGCACCCTCCTGAGCCACTCTCCTCTTTGATATACCACGTAAAAGACAGTGGGAGTCCTGGTTTGAGTTGGAGCTGGAAATCTTGGTGATATGTCTGATTAGAAAAATATATACAGCTGAGACACATACCTCTGGTTATACATTAGCAGTCTAATAACTATGACTGTCCTCATCGGATGCATTTGCACAGCTATTAATTTACCTTTCAGCACCCAGTGTAGGACTGCA